CCTACGTACGTACGTACGCACGCACGCATTTACGATAAAATTTAATTAGTTTCACCACGTTATCTCCAATGTTTCGAAAGAATTTTTTTTTTTTTTGCTCCAAGTTGTTGAGTTCAATCACGACAATTTAGGGTTAAGAAAACCCGGATATACTTTAAGATGCTCCAGAGCATGATACTTTATCAGCAGGAATATTCATACATGTTGAACCGTTAATCCTCCCTTTTCTGATTCATCTTCATACATTCCAAGGAAAGATTTCTTTGTCAAATTTATAAATAATTCGGACTTCAACATGCGTTCATATCATTAATCTTATACAAAAATGTATTTGAAGGATTGCAAACTGAATAAGAAAATAGGATTTTGTCAGATTAATCTTTTCCTGTATAGTTTTACCGCAGCAGATGATGTCAAAAGAAGAGTAAATTCAGTAATTCACAAAAAAATCATATGATTCTAAGCACCATTTGCCGATCAAATATAATGTATGTCGATATCGATATGAAAAAAATTTGTAATTTAGATACAGTAAGACTTAAATTTAAGTTTGTTCTTTGTATTTTATATCACACGTAATAATTATATAATGGAGATCAACAACCGGATTATAGAAAAAACCAGTTATAATAATGGTTATAATAATTGACCGTTAGAGGATGAATCGGTATATCATGAATTAATGAAAATAAATTAGGCCAATGAAAAAGAGACAAATAACAAAAAAAGAGAAAATAAAGTTAGTATATTCAAATAAGTTGGCAATAAACAGGAAAAGTGCAACACACTGGCGCAGAACGCGACAGAATGCGTTTCCAGAAGAGATCTTTAATTGGGTCTATTATTGATTCATTTTTATACTATAAATGCAAATGGCGTGCAGCTTATTACTAACCACATTTTGAATAAAAAAGAATACATTGATTACCGAAGACAGATATGCCCAGTCGAAATCTCGATCTCAGAATAAATTAAGATTAATATATGGATCATGTAATCCTGTAGTAAATCATAAAAAAAAATATAATAATAAGTAAATAAATGAATAAATTGAGATTCAAAATGATGTTATTTTAAGATATAAAAATAGCCACACAGACCACCAGCTTCGAACCAGTTTCTGGAACATTAACATTGGATAATAAAAACTAGTTAATTAAGGGACTATAGTGACTCATTCGATTCTAGAAACGCGTAAACTCACCTTTGCAAACGATAAAGTGATTATTTCGTAAATCTTGGACAGGTGGTTATCACGTACATATTTGGATGTGATATGCACAAAGTCGATCTAGTTCATAACGGTAAGCCCCCAAAATATCAGAAATGAAACTTTGATTAAATAACGATAAATAGGTACGTACGTACGTACGTACAGTACGTAAGTACGTACGTACGTGCGCACCGTACAGAAAAGAACCCATTGCCAAATTAAAATCAATCAATAACAAAAAGAGAGACATTCTAGAAGATTATATTCAATGTTTTAAGACTTGATGAGGCAATAAATAAATGCATCTTGACGCATCTGATTTTTCGGATTTTTCCGAGTAATTCGCACCAGTAGCATCATGTAAAAAAAAAATCTTCTTACCTTCGAAAATAACATTTCATGATATATAAAGGAGACGAATAGATATAACGTCCAATAATGACCAATTAGTACGTATTCATTAGTATCCAATAGGTGTTTAGAAGTCAACAATAACTTAAAATAGGTAAATATGGGGTTTGAATTACGTATCAAAATTGAAAGCAATAAATTTGGACTAACTTCATGTAGATACTTATACCAAGTTTTTTGATGGTTGTTACACCTGAAGAAGTTTCAGTACACCAACCAAAATCAGCATCTTTTGTAATTGCGAAAGAATCATTTAGCATAATTGGTACAACATTAGGTGTCATACCATAATAGAAATTTAAATAATAACAATCAAAAGTTATTTATCAAAAATATTGGTGTTAGGGTAAACAAAGCAATAACCTATTCTGGGATTATGCCTAACAATAACTTACATTCATGAGGTATACCATCAGCCACAAAGAATACTGATTGTTCCAGCCGGGAAAAGGCGAATTCACAATTAAAGGTTACAACTTTGATTATCGGAATTGGGGTTACAACCATGGCTACAACGTGATCCACAATGATTATAACCGAGAACATAATACCAGGGAAAGAATATTCAACTTTATGAAATTGGGGCGGGGCGTTAACGCTGCAAGAAATATGCATAAGGCGAATGTATTTCAATTAACGCCAATTCTATTAGATTATTTATCCGAGAATTGTTGAATCATGAATAGTTTTAGGAGAGTAATGAAAATAATCATATGAAGAATTGTTGCCCAGATTATCAGCAAAAGTCAATTGTTCGTAAAATCAACTTTTAGTAATTAATAAAGAATGCACACCTTCATGATTTTATGATCCAATCGCTACGCAAGTACAAAGAACACACACCTTCATTATTTTATGATTCGATAGGTCAGTGTCACGTGATGAGATTCAACACAAGTGTCAAACATCGAGATTTAACAAACATCTGACTCTAGTGGGCAATTCGATCCTTTTCGTACCATACTAGTTGCGGGAATAGTAAAAAGAGTTAGAGGATTTCGAATTCAATTAAAATGTTTACGCAGAGACTTTTATCACGTGACATATCAAGGCACTTAAAATTCAATACGTATTGGTATGTAATTTGACATATATTGTATTCGCGTTTGGAATAATGCCCTTATGATTCTGCGTATTTCCAAACTGTAGTACAAAAATATTTCATCTCTGAAAATGTTTATTTATACCGCCTTTTTTTAAGCCAATCAAAAAATGACAAGAAATACCCCAAGAATTTTTTTTTCAATCTCACTATAATTTAGAAGAAACATTGTTTATGCATAATGGTGAGAAAAGCGATGTATTTTAGAATGATAAATATCCTTATTTCTTTCGATTCTGATTCTTATGGCTCTGTGTGAAGGCAATGTGATCAATAAATTCAGCCAATCCGGTTCGAGTAAATGAATCGTTTAAGGTTTTAATGACTTTTACCGCATAAAGATGATTTTTTTTATGGTTATCTTTCAATAAATAAAAATTTTTTTTGTCAAGAAAAATGTTTGATTTTTTTTAACTATGGTTCATCGATTTCCCTTTTCTGACAATAAATGATCTGCACTCCACTTTTTTTATTTCAACCATTATCTCCGTTCATTGTTCTCTTTTCCCATCTTGCTCTAATAACATCTCTTACCCAAACCTTGAGTTGAATTTCGGGCTTACAGCAGAAAGTGCTAATACAGTAGTAACTGCATATGATCACATCAAGAGGCGCCCAGTTGCCTTGACATATTTCTACATATTTCTACAATAGAGGCTTTTTTTTTAAAAAAACAAAAAAAATGGTAGTTTAATGCACGAAAAAAGATCGAATTTTTTTTTGGTTTTTTTGTTTTCCTTGAGGTAATAAACTGACACTTGTCAAAATTATCATAGTTCGGTTTGTGCCAACTACCGCAGTGTTACCCTGATTGTTCTCTCTTGAGGGGTGTATTGTTGTAAATTTCTTCATCGGAACTTTCCCCCAAAAAAAATTTGCATACAAAGGGAAAAGAAGTTCTCTTTGACAATAGCTTCAAATATGACATCTGCGTCAAATCAAGTGGGGATGTGTAACGACAAAGGGGAATGCCGCTAGCCAAAAACGTTGTTTGTCTTAAGATTTATGCACAGAAACGAGCAAAAAAGTAATTGAACCGTGGCCACACTTGATTGCAGCATCTGACATACACTATCAAAATTCCTTTTAATTTTTTAATGATGGGACTATTGCGAATAATCTGATCTTTGAGTCGATATGTACCCCATTTTTTTTTTTTTTTTTCGAAAATTGTCAGAGAATTTCTATTGGTTGAGTCCAATGATCTTGATTTTAGCGTGGATTATTTATCGGGGAAGATCGACCTTTCTTTGGGTGACTTAATTCGCTTATCTTTATGATCATTATGATCATTATGATCATTGAGAATCCGGCCGTTTTAATTTTTTATAACCGATGAACCTTTTTTTTTTTTTTTTTTTTTTTTAAATGACTAAGTTCTAGCGACTTTCATATAAGATTGATTTCATCCAATTTTAGTTAAGTAAACCTAATAGTAGTATTAATGATATAATAATATTATTAGAGAAAAAGGCTATGGTACTTTGAATTTCCTTATTCTAACCACATTCAGCCGAAAAAAAAAAAACCCTTTTTTATGTTTGTGCTTATCCCTGCCTAGTACCGTTGTTATTGTAATATTAAATAAACTTAAATGTGTCATCGGTGTGACCCTTCACAAAAATTCACATTCCCCTAAATCTATTTTAAATCGTATCACGATTTTCAAATTAAATTAAATATATTGTTATTTTATAAAAAAATAAATTTGGAATAATTTTCTTTTTAGAGGTTCAAGCAAGTTTTTTTTTTATACATATGTATAAATAAACAGTTATTATATCATCAATATATATTATACTTTACTGCTTTATACTACACTGTACACTATTCTCGTTATATTACTATTGTAAAACATAATATGAATCAAAATTTTTTTTTTTCTGAACACAAACATAAACACAGCTTAAGGTTTATAACTTCTCCTGTCTTTATATTCCCCTGGTCTCTTGTCTGGAAAATTAGAAACGAGCGACTTCGGTTGGGTTTTTTCATGAACTAATTTTTCATCTTCTAATAATAAAAAAGTAAGAAGCAAACAAACTCCTTTTATTTAATCTGTTCAAATATTACAGATATCCAGTCAGTTATTGATAAATATATCATTAAAGTGCTTGTCGTTATTAATATCATCCTTTTTTTTCTCCGCTTTTTTTATATAATCCCAATATTTTTACAGCTCTCTGTCTCTCACTCGGGTTATCCGTATTACTTTTCACTATTAACAAAACCTTTTTATCAAGTATTTTAAATTAGTTCATTGAAGAAACTACTATGGCTGGAAAGTGAGTTCGAAAATTTCGGGACTTTTAGAATAGATTGTTCGGGTTTTAACTGTTACTCATCTATATTTCTACATTCCTATTTTTCACAGCACGTTCGCATCAGTACACGATGAGCTCGCATATTATAAAAGTCGAGTTTCAGAGTTGGAAGAAACTTTGAATCAAACTCAAGCTGAACTTGACGAAGTTCAAACTTCGGCCAGAGATTTCGAAGAAGAACTTTTGAAAGAACTTGAGCAATCTGAAAAAATACACAAGGAATTGAGAAATAAAAATGAAACTTTAAAAAATGAAGTTGATGAGTGGAAGGTAAAAATTTATCATATAATTGGAATATCCTGGATTAAATCCTCGAAATTTTCATTATTAACACATTACGATTTAATCATTTTAGCAAAAATATTATCAAGCTAAAACCGAATGTAACGTCACTGCCACTCAATTGCAAAGGGAGATTGATACGTTGCAAAGCTTGAAAGACAAATTCATTATCAAAACAAGAGAGTTAGAACTTGATAATGATGACCTTGAACGAACTGAAAGGTTTGTTTCTGGACTTATTAAAATCAAAATGTCATTATGCATAATATAAACTTTGGTTTTAATCAATTATTTTCTTATAGAGCTGCAAAGAGTTCATTGCTGGATCTGGAAAACAAGTACAATAAAGCTATTGAACGAAACGCGATCCTTGAAAACGAACTTGAAGGCAAAAATCAATTAATCGTTCAAGTACAAAGATTGAAGGATGAATTGAGAGGTATTTTGATAATTCTTTGTAACAATTATCTATAAGTTCTTAATTTCGTTTTACTAATAATGTTTATCATTTGTCAATAATCTTTATAGATGTGAACATAGAATTGGCTATCATGAAAAATAGGGAAGATGGTGAATATGGTCCACCACCAACGTCATCTGCTGCTGCTCGCATGTTTGCCAAAAACTCACGTTCTACATTAGGAAATACATCCGATGCATCATCGGATCCAAATTCGAATCCCGTCAAGATGGTACAAGATATGGTTGGCAGGGTCAAGGTAATTATCATAAAGTTATCACAAAATTCGTTACTTGTTCTTAAATTATATATATATTTATGTATATATATATTTGCTTTTTAACAGAGTCTCGAAGCTCGCCTTGTTTCATGCCGTTCTCTTGTTACACCTCTCCTCGCCCCTCCTCCTTCATATTCTTCCTATTCT